AGAGAGAGAGAGAGAGAGAGAGAGAGAGAGAGAGAGAGAGAGGAGAGAGAGAGAGAGAGAGAGAGAGAGAGAGAGAGAGAGAGAGAGACCCTTGCATGTGTCCGGATGAAAATGTAATCGGTTGGAAAATTAAGTCTGCAATTAATCTAATGATTGCGAATGGTTTCATATTTTCAGTTTATTCCAATAATTTGAGGCCTATGGAAAGTAGGCCAATTTAAATAGAAATGACTAAATCGTAGCATTAGACATGTGAAAACCGTTTCCTTCAATATGATTAATACAATTATTTTGGTAAAAAGCAGGTAGTCCTACTAAGTCTGCAAGTACCAAGGCTATGATTAACAGTTAATTAAGTTCATTAATGCTATGCAAATCGATCAAATGAATGCTAATATGCATAACCCAATGAGCGTTAACTGAGCAATGTCCCAGAACACATTTTCATCATAAACCTAATGCCATTCCACAAAGTCATGTTGTGTTTTTACTTAAAGTGGCATTCTGCTCCTCCCATCCTCCTTGACTGGACCTGGAGCAGAGGCATAAACGAATGCATGAACATAATTCTTACAGCAGTGATCCACTATATGGCTAGCCACGCTAGCTTTGCCCTCATGTCAGTGCTAGCAAGCAGGCTACGTAGTGCTAAGAATCAACAGCCAATCCAGTAGGGGCAGGAAACTATAGTGAGCTTCAATTGGTACGTGACAAAAGTTCAGCTTTCCCCAACTTTGGTCCCGCCCTGTTCACGCTCCCTCGCCCATGCTTGCATCGCCCAATGGTCCCCAGCCCACTTCTCTTCCATTCATTGAAAATGAATGGGGCTCCGTTGTTTCATCGCCCCCAACGTGCTAGATGGATTTCTGCCATTGCAACACCCTCCTACCCATGCACATACACACACACACACTCTCTCTCTCTCTCACCCACATATGCTATACCACCCCCTTTCTCTCTCTCTCTCTCTCTCTCTCTCTCTCTCTCTCTCTCTCTCTCTCTCTCTCTCTCTCTCTCTCTCTCTCTCACACACACACACACACACACACACACACACACACACACAGACACATATAGCCTACACCTCCTCCCCACAGACTTGAGAGTGTAGCCTATCTCCCCCTTGTCGCTGAGAGCAACTGAAACATTATACATCAACATTAATATAACCTTCGTTTCAATCACTAGATTTATATCGACTTCAGCTGCTCTCAATGTTCTATCAATGGTCAATTTTCATTTTGAAAATTGTGTTATATATATTTGTATTTGTATATGTATACTTTGTGTAAAGTCCTGAAGATGTTTACTCTCTAAACTCTGAATAAACTTGTTTATTGAATCTTGAAATAATGATATAAATGCATCATTAGGCTATGCACTTCATACGGATTACAGATTAGCCTAGAGCAACGGCAAGTGGTGCCAAAACGAAATCAAAACATGCACCCCAGCACATGGACTCGGTACTGGTACCCGGTGTATATAGCCAAGTTATTGTTAATCATTGTGCATTAATTCTTTTTGTTATCATTTTTCTATTTATTTCTATTTTTCTCTCTCTCTGCATTGTTGGGAAGGGCCCATAAATAGCCTAAGCATTTCACTGTTAGTATACACCTGTTGTTTACGAAGCACGTGACAAATAAAATTAGATTTTGATTGATTTGACTTTCTCTATCAATATCACCTTACAGTAATTATCTTTAAAGAAAAATAGTAGGCTATTTTCTCTCAGCTCATCCTTCTCCAATGTGGATCAATATCAGAGCAGCATGCGCTGAGGAAGCGGCATCGACGCACTGCGTGGGACTGAACTTTGACCTTTTCCCGCTCACCACAGGTCATATCATCCTCTGCGAGAGAGGTCACAGCACCTGCCCCGCCAGTGAGAAATGCCGCACTTCCGCCCCACGCGTGAACTGGCATTAGCAGGTAGAGTAGCTACTCAAAATGTATCGATGAAAAAGCTTTGGGAATCATTCAAAAAGCTTTCTGCAAAAAAATATACTGTATATTGAGTCAGGACATTCACTCACTCTATAGCCTATAGCAGGGGTATTCAACTCTTACCCTACGAGGTCCGGAGCCTGCTGGTGTTCTGTCCTAACTGATAATTAATTGCACACACCTCATGTCACAGGTCTAAATCAATCCCTTGAACAATGAAAAAACTTAGTGGAACTGGCTTCCAGGTCCAGAGTTGAGTTTGAGGGGACTTTAGCATGGCAATGTTAAAACACCTTCCTAATATTGAGTTGCACCCCTTTTGCCCTCAGACCAGCCTCAATTCGTCAGGGCATGGACTCTACAAGGTGTCGAAAGCGTTCCACAGGGATGCTGGCCCATGTTGACTCCAATACTTCACACAGTTGTGTTAAGTTGGCTGGATGTTCTCTGGGTGGTGGAACATTCTTGATACACACGGGAAACTGTTGAGCGTGAAAAACCCAGCAGCGTTGTAGTTCTTGACACACTCAAACCGGTGCGGCTGGCAGCTACTACCATACCCTGATCAAAGGCACTCAAATATTTTGCCTTGCCCATTCACCCTCTGAATGGCGTACATACACAATCCATGTCTCAATTGTCTCAAGGCTTAAAGATCCTTCTTTAACCTGTATCCTCCCCTTCATCTACACTGATTGAAGTGGATTTAACAAGTGACATCAATAAGGGATCATAGCTTTCACCTGGATTCACCTGGTCAGTCTGTCATGGAAAGAGCAGGTGTTCCTAATGTTTTCTACACTCAGTGTATATAGAACCGAAATTGGTTCAATCTAGAACCCTATATGGAACCAATTTGGTTCAGTGAAGAAGAACCCCTGGGGTTCTGACTAAAGAACCTTACAAAAGGGTTCTATATAGAAAATTGAGGGGTGCCATAACCAATTAGGTTCAGTGAAGAAGAAAGCCTGGGGTTCTGATTAAATAACCTTACAAAAGGGTTCTATATAGAACATTTAGGGGTGCCATATGAAGCAAGCAATAGAACCCTTTTTGGATCTTTCCAGAACATATTTTTTCTAAGAGTGTGGTGAATTCACATCGTCTCAGAATGAGAAGCTGCCTCAGTTACTCGCCAACTGCATTAAGATGCACTCGGTTATTCTCATGTTATGGTGTTAGATTTTTGTCTCTTGGCCAACCCCTTCTCTAAGGCGTCACTCTATTTAATTTTCTACGGACAAAAACCTGTATGCCAGTATGGTCATTGGTGGGTGGGCAAAAACATCATACATTAATTGTAATAGCCTACATGTTCAGGCTGTGATGAACGAGTGCAAATACTGAGGAAAGACAGGACAAAACATTCCAAATGCGCAATGTGAACATGCTCAGCTCTCCAACGGCCCCACCTCGAGGCTACAAGCCCACTGTTGAAAAGAACATGTTTCATCCGGCTTCTTTTCTAAACTATATCCATGTATTGTGTAATAACATCAAACATCGTAGTTTTTTGTCAGTAGCGGGAAATCGTTTGCGTTTTCTAGTCGACGGTGCGTTTATTGAATATGACAACTATTTGTAGATATTTTTTTCAGGGGCACTTTGCATGTCCATCACTTGCATAGGTCTACACACCATCAATAAAAGGGATGCAGTTTGGCAATGTGTTAAACCAGAGTCATGTATTAATCGCAGTTTTGATAATCCGGACCTTCCAGATATTCTGTAACCTAGAATCCCCTCTCAGATGGCAGAAACCACTCAAATCGTCTCAAATAGCTTAGGCCTACTGTCAACCTGTGTTGCCTAAACAATAAAAAACTATTCCAGAAAACAAGAGTCTCAGTCTGAGAAAGTATACACAAGTGGTTGAAATAGATCAATACAATTGTATTAATTATAGGGCCACACATGCACACCTCTAGGCTAACCGTGTCTCGGCATACAGAGGCTCAAGCCCCGCTCAGGGCCGAGTCAAGTTCAAGTTCACGGCTGCTCTGACTGCGCAACCCCCCTGTCTTCCCTTAAGTGCCCCGGATGGGAGAGGGGATTTTCGACTGGGTTTTCGGGAGTACAGGGGTTTCTCTACAAACATAATGCCTGTGACAAAACAATTAAAAGATACTGCCGTTTAATGAAAGTCAAACTGAAATTGCCAGTCATTGCCTGGTGTTAAATTAAAATATATATTTATTGAATTTGGATGCATGGACGATTCTATATGGAGGAGTTATAGGTTAGGCTGCATAACATGCGGGTTCGAGTAGCCTGATTTAGATAGTCTTTTTACTTTCAAGTAGACATACATTTTAGTTGTGTTTACAATTTGGCCTAACATGCATAAATAAACCTCAGCCACAATGTTTGTTTTGTGACCAATGAGATGGTTCTGGCTAGGCTACGCGTAAATCTTGCAACTTTTAATTTAGCCTGCCATATTGACAATGCAAGCCACATTAGCAGGAGTTGCAGACGATGTATGTTCATTAAAAAAAATATTACAGGTCATGACTAATTCATAAGAGCTGGTCCTATAGAGCTGACGGGTTTTTAAGAGGTAAACTCCAACATTTGGGAATGATCTGAGGGCACAAAGAAACAATATCCAAAACAATACTTGTTTTAACACTGGATGCAGAATTGAATGTACATAGTGCAGATAACCCATATCCTTATAGCATGCATGCTCTTACTGACATAATGTGGGGCTTAGCCTGCTTTGCAGATTGGTCTCATATGAAAAAGCTGATCTGAAATGACCCGCCCAAGAAACAGCTTCGTGCACCAGTAGAATGCACTGTAAAATAAAAAAAATCCTGTTGTTTTTATTGTAATTTTTTGGCAGTCACTTACCTTTAAGTTAATGTAAAAAAAGTGCAGCATGTTACTGTAAATCCAAATAAACGTTGGTTTAACAGTGCATTACTGTAAAATGTTCACCGTTTTTTGTTCAGGTAACTGGGTGCCAGTAATAACCATAAAAACAACATGATTTTTTTTTACAGTGTGCCTATTCTGGGTATGAAGAAGACATCAAGAGAGGGAAATGTTTTTTAACACTTGCAACACGTTTTATTATATTTGTATGCAGTAAAATTCTTATCACAATAATGAAGAAAACACCTCTTTAACTTTGAACAAAAACACATAACAAAACAACTGCCCCTGTTTAGCTCATAATTGTACATATTTATAGTAAAGAAACATTCTTTATAAATATTGTTTAATCTGTAGCAAGTGAATACCATAATTTAATTACAAACGGATAAATATGGCAGTCGATATTTACAAAACGAAGGATGTAGTTACAGAAAATCCAACGGCACAACGTCTATTCTTCCAGATAGCATTTCACAATTCAAAACTTGCAAAGCACAAAACATCACAAGTTAAGCCCAGCAAACTAAAATATAAGCCAACATTCACAAGCAAAATATTGTGGACTGTTTGAGTTAAGTGTTGACTTTGGCACTCTTTCCAGTTTATAGATGTTTAGTATAGTTACAATCAATTTGCCTTAGGATCACAATATTTAACATCATAATACAACTTTTATCGTAATATGTGCACTAAAAGTCCAGATAGAGAAATAGCTACCATTGAAGGAACATCTATACACCAAAGAACGACAAAATCTATCACAACCAATGGGAAAGACGGAGTGTAATAATTATTTACAAATATATTGAATACTCCTTGAACATATTACATATTTTCTTCTGTTGGTAAGTGAGTTCTCTTCCCTGGTGGTTTTAAATCGACTTGTATGCTTTTGAAGCGTTCATAGTATTCATGCTCTCCTCGGAGCATGAGTGTCCAAATCTCCTGCGCTGGTTGGGGTTCTGAGCAATGGTTCTGTATTCGCTTTTCGGTTCAGTCCTAAACATACCATTCACTGAAATTAGACGATAGGTTGCTGTGACCGTTGTTGTTATTGTGGACTGCGGACGCGGGCGAAAGATTGTTGTTGCTTTGGGTCTCGGTGGTGGGGGAGACTAAGCCGGGCGGTGTGGATGACTCGTAACCAGAACTGGCTGCAGGCGAGGAGTCGGACGCTGGAGGGGCCGCTTCGTGGACCTGGAAAAAGTGCAGATACTATTAGTATATGATGGGAAATTGTGAAGTTTGACTTCAAAGTGCTTCAAGAATGATGGGGAACGTAAATGTGTAGGCCTAAATAACAGAGGAAAACCAAATCACTGACAAACATGTCCTACGCACGCAAAACACAGACGTAAACAAGCCTTAGGCTACGTGCTAATATCAGCTGGAAAGTGAAAGACAAAGTCAATTTACCTTCATGTGTTTTCGTAGAGAGCTGGGATGTGTGTAGGACTTGTCACACATTTTGCAAAGATACGGTTTGTCTGACGTGTGGACATGCATGTGCTTCTTTCGGTCACTGCTGTTGGCAAACCGCCTGTCACAGCCTTCAAACTCACATTGGAATGGTTTCTCTCCTGCAGAAAAAGAGGGATAAAACAGACAGGTTAGATTCAGTTCCTCAGAAAAAGCCTACAAAACGACTATGCCTTAGGCCTAATACTATACGAGTTGCATTCAATAACATGGCCATTTAACGACGAGTAGCGGGTTAAGTCATTTAGCTATTCGTCATAGTGAGTAAATGCAGTGATGTTCACACATGCCTTCCATTCGGTTAAATCTCTGTTGATTCACAAACTTAATTTAAAGATGGTTAACTTTGTTTGTGGGAGCAGACGTTTTCTCTTTTATGCAGGAAATGGTGGGTTTTAAGAAATAGCAAAACATTTAGGCCTATGGCTATTTGTTTTGAATCACAGCAATTTAATGTAAGTAGTAAGTAAAATTACTTAACAATATTTATTTCATATCCTATCAAAAATGAAATGCAAAATGGTTTAATTAGGCTACAATATGCCCGACTTAAATTTATATAGGCCTAAACAAAACGCAAACATCCCATGTGGGACAATAGCTACTGGTGCAGAGGGCGCACCATTTGATTGGGGAAAAAAATATATAAAAAAATAAAACGAATTAGCACCTGACCAATTCCATGGCTGCATAGCATAACCAAATCCCCCCAGAAAAAATTCAAAATGTGAAAGGCTGGTAATGCACCTACTATCAATGGATTGTGTGAAAAAAATAAAAGGGCCATGACACACATTCACAAAACACACTCGCATGCGCCTGAAGAGTAAACTCACCATACAATTTCCTAAAAACAAAAATGCCAAACAATATTTCTCCGTGGACAAAATAAAATAACAAAATCGATTTGTGAAAAAGAGGCGAGGCATTCCAGATAGAATCCTAAAAGCTCAGTCTTGCGTAAACATTAAACCGGTTGATGAGATTTAAGCTATAGCCTACTCCACGCACGCAATGCGAGCCAGAAGCCCTCACCTCGCCTTTGACCCATTTTAAAGTTTACGAACCACAAAACCTCAAAAGCATGTTACATAATTTAGCAAATTGCTGCGAAACATTTCATTTCTTCTAAACTGTGCAAACGCTAATTGTTTCCAGACTCGCCAGCTATGTGTTTAGGCTACTATTGGATAATCGAATTCGCACGTTAGGCTATAGCGATTTTTTTGTTGTTGTTGTTGATCTAAATCTACTTTGACAGAGATGTGAATGTCTACTTTGGCAGTCTAAAAATACCCTTATCAATTGAATATCGACTGGGGTATTTTGGCGACGAGAAAAGGCGCTTTTTGCAGGCTATAGGCTACAATTGGCTATGATTAAATAAAGCATGGTGCGTTGGCATGGTGAATTCTAAAATGTGCAGTGCACATTTACGAAACGAATAAAAGCCTGAGACATTTAGGTAAAATCCTATAAATATCGTATAATTACCTGTATGTGTGCGCTTGTGAATCTTCAAATTTTCCGACCTTGCGAAGACCTTGCCACATCCAGGGAAGGGGCAGGGGAAGGGTTTCTCACCCGTGTGGACCCGAATGTGATTCACCAGTTTGTATTTCGCCTTAAACGGTTTGCTCTCGCGGGGGCACTCTTCCCAAAAGCAGATGTGGTTGCTCTGCTCCGGTCCCCCGACGTGCTCCACTGAGACGTGCGTGACCAGCTCATGCATGGTGCTAAAAGTTTTGTTGCAACTCTTCTTGGGGTTGCTCAGCTGCTCTGGGTCGATCCATTTACAGATGAGCTCCTGCTTGATGCACTGCTGCCGCATGTAGCGAAAGAAGGCACCGGGGTGGTGGTGGTGGGCTCCCATGTTCATTCCCATGTTCATATTCATGCTGCTATACTGGTTATGGAGCTGGGCGGCCGAGTAAGGGTCTGTCCTTGGGCTGGAGATCTGATGGTACTGATCGGAACGCCCAAAAACCTCCCCCGGTAGTCCAAGACGCATTTGCCCATTGAGCACATTCGGGGATCCGTGGGACCCATGCTGGTCGTGGATCCCGGGGAACAGAATGTGGCCTTGACTGTCTGTGTGGGTATGATGGAGAGACCCCGCCGTGGGGCCGAAAATAGCGTGCTGGCTGCTCGCCTGAGATGATTCTCCGAAGCCGCGGCTGCGAAAGAGAAAGTCCCTGGTGGAGTTGAACGGGGAACTCGCGTACGAGGTGACATGGGCTGCATGCGCCCCCAAAGCCGCTGCGGGGTAGCCGGGCGCCTGGGAGGTGAAAGCAGAGCTCTGTCCTGGAGAAAGATCATGGTTCAGTTTAAATGCACCCATGTGTGCGGAGTCGACGAAGCTATTTTGTGCTAAACTCAAGTCTCTCTCCTGCATCTCGCTCGCTGAGTGATGCCTGGCAAATGTGCCAACTCCCAGTCCGGGGAACTGGTGACCTGCGTCCAGTAACATGGTTTCTCAAAGCGAATTTCGTTCGAATCAGCTTGTGTGTATAACAAAAGAAATATAAAAAATACAATTCAATTGTCTATTCGGTTATGGAAATTACAACTTCCATGCATGGAAACACCATATCAGGCGAAGCTCAACACGATGATCCACTCATAGGAAGAAAAAAAAACCTATACAGCTCGTCTTATCGAACACCTCTATATTCACTGGTAGTTAACTTGTAACTCAAAAAATCCCCATGAAACGAAGTAAAGAGATTCCTTTACGTTTTTCCTCTGGAAACTGTGAATGTTGATTGCTTTTAAACACACACGAAGAATGGAATAATTATCTTACTAGGTGCCCTAGCACGGAGAGAGAGCGGGATTTTGCAGCATCTCGGATTGTTGTTCCGATTTGTGTGTTTATTTCTTTCGCTTGCCTGTGTTTATTGCGGAGGGTCCCTCTTTCTCCGTGGACTGGCACTAGCTCCTCTTACGCCCCCTTTAACTGAAGCCCGGCCATTCATTCCACGCAGTCTCATTGGCCACTGCGTCTCATCAATCCCAGGTGTCCCTCCAATAGCAGGTACCGCTTTGGCGACTAATAGCTGATCGCCATTTTCCACTAATAATTACCGCCTACTTTTTAGGAGAGGTTTTTAGGGGGAAGAGAGAGAGAGAGACGAGAGAGAGAAGAGAGAGAGAGAGAGAGAGAGAGAGAGAGAGAGAGCCTCGAGAGAGAAGAAGCGAGAGCATGACCCTGAGGAGAGGATGGAGAGATGAGAAGACGCTTCTCTATTCGACGAGAGATCTACCTCTTCTCCGATACTCGACCTCTCTCCTGCGACTCTCTCGACTGGGGAGAGAGAGAGAGAATATATAATCGGATATGATGCCTTAAAACCTTACTTTTATAGGTTGATGTATAATGGGTGGAATGACAATACGACATTGCACGTTGTGTGATAATGGTGTTTAAAAACCTCAGCTATAGAATTAAAGAAATAGGATAGAAAATAACTGTACGTGAAATATCGAATGGGGTTTTGGGGTAGAAGGTGGGGTCTGCACATTTCATGAATTTTAAACAGCAATAGTGAATTTAACATTTGACAGGCGAATTTAATTAGAAACTAGAGTCAATAATTAGCCAAACCACTATTTTATATACTGACCGTGTTTCTCTTACAAATAAATACAGTATTTACATGTGCGTAATAACACACACGTTTATGAGTAAATTCATATCTACAAGCTCTGCTATAGAAAGGTGGGGATATACAGCAGAAACAGAAGCATATAATGTAGCATATCAGAAAACAACATACCATTTAATAAAATATAATGGATTATGCTGCAGACTATAGAGTACTCCCTTAAAAATTGTTGCTGATCGTTTACCCCAATAACGAAAATAGTGTATGTTCATTTACATTTTAGTCATTTAGCAGACACTCTTATCCAGAGCGACTTACAGTTAGTGAGTGCATACATTATTTATTTATTTATTTCATACTGGCCCCCCGTGGGAATCGAACCCACAACCCTGGCGTTGCAAACGCCATGCTCTACCAACTGAGCTACATCCCTGCCGGCCATTCCCTCCCCTACCCTGGACGACGATGGGCCAATTGTGCGCCGCCCCATGGGTCTCGCGGTCGCGGCCGGCTACGACAGAGCCTGGATACGAACCAGGATCTCTAGTGGCACAGCTAGCACTGCGCCACTCGGAAGTTCATAGACTCTGCACCTACTGCCATCAATGAGCTATAGGCTCATGTAGCTTACTATAGATAGCCCTAATGCAAAACATATTGCGTAGGCCTACACACATTATTTCTGATTAGTCATAATTTGGTGAACATATTAATTAGCATTAGGCCTACAGACACACGTGGGTGAGTTTGGAAACAACAAAGCTTCATATTACAAGGTATTAGGCTAATAAAGAAAATAGATCTCTATATAACAAACAGCCTAGACCCAAAAGCCTAATGGTCTTCAATTGCCATAGCCTACCATAAAGTCACACTCAATCCAAACAAGAACCCTCGCTAGCTGTTCATGTCTGCAAAAACAAGGTTTGCTACTATCGTGAGTCTTTTCGTTCAAAGCGCATACTGTATGGATTGCGTTTGAAAACAACGGGCTCCAACAACAGCTGCCCATTGAAATGTACACACTAAAGTGAAAGGAAGTTTACTTACACTTCCATTGAACTCAAGTCCCACAAGTCCTCCTGCTCCAAGACACATCAAACTTTCTCTTGTCCCTCTCGGCTCCCAAACACTCTAAAAAAGCGGTCAATAATGGGACGGGGAGTAGGACGTCTGAAAACTTTGTGAATCCTGTCCCTCTCTCTCTCAGCCCCAAAGCCGGGGCAGCCGGAGCGTTCTCTACCATTCTTCCAATTTCTCCCCGCACCGCGGGACACGCAGGAGCTGATCCAAGTTCAAAGTCACGTCTGCCGACCTCTCTAAATAACTTATTTATTTCGGTGGAAAACCCCTTCCCCTGTCACTTGATAGGAGAAAAATTAAAATAAATTAGAGAGAAAGAACTCAATCGGACCAGAGGTGCATATCTGTGGGTTCTTACTTCCTCAAACTCAGGAGAAAGGGGGCTTCTGAAAATCCCCAAAGACCAGTATTTCAACAGATTACTCAGAGACAGAAAATAGAGGAGACCGAAAGTGTTGAAAATGGTTAGAAAAATAGCATACATTATAAAAATGTATAGAAATGAATACAACACACCTTTGATTAGGCCTATTTTCGGTTTAAAGAAAAAAAAATCTCACATAAATTCTGACCAAATATTCACGATATTGCTAATTATCTGAATATGGCCGACAAGGCTAGTAAATAAAACCATACATGGCATGCCCTAATGGCGCAGCGCCTAATGCAAGGGTGAAGGAAGCGGGGCGTATTTCACTAGTTCATTAGTTGACAATATCAATATGTTGACGCATTGGAAGGTTACTTGTGTGGTTTCCGTGACCTTGTGTGATTCATGGATGTTTGACCTATGACCCGTTAAGACCACATATGTTGCACTTTTGAATTCTTCTGTAAAATAAACCCTTTTTATAACAAAGCGCCTTTTGTTTATTACAAAGCGCCTGAAGTAAGTAGCCTACAGGCTTTAGGGGCATTCTAACTAATCAGAAACAGGGAATTGAACTACTTCATTCTTTTTGGAAGTTCAGATGGGTGCTCCTCTTTGAATTAGGCTAACAATACTTTTTTTGCTTAGGCTACTTTGAAAAAAAAAACATTAGCCCTATTAACCATGGACACTACTTTTTACTAATATGTTTTGTAAAATAATACATTCATTCATTTTTACTATACCCTAGACATCCCATTGAGATTGGAATCGTATTATCGAGTGAGGCACTTGTTCATAGATGATAACAACATACCCCCAAGGGGGTCGATAAATAGACAATTCTATAGATATACATTTAAAAGTTGGCAGCCTATATAGCTGTTATTTGTATGTGTAGGCTATCTATTAATTTGGTTTCTAAAAAGTCTAGGGAGGTGTGCTTCCTTTTTATTTGAATTATGCATGGTAGCTTTCTATATCCAAAAAGTAAGACAGAAGATACTTTATGACACTTTGAAGCACGTATAGTCGACCTACCAATGGTATTTTTTAGTTTATACCACAGACCTATTCTCTTTTAAGTCAATACCCATATACGCCAAAGTTCTGATAGAGTCAATATCACGGATAATTTTACGCACTACTATTTATGTTGTTGAGCATCGTCCATGGACATTTTTTGAGTATTTTTGAGATCATTTCCCCTCTTGAAACCTAATAGATTGCTCCAATTTATTTGATTTTTAATAACCTATGAGTGCAACTGTTGATTTTCAAGTCATTGGAAAGCAAAAATTAGACATGCCAAGAGTGACTATTGGATAATAATAATTTTACAGATTTCATTTAAATATGCTGATGTATGTAAACTCTTGGGTCAAACAAATTAATCTGAAAAAAAGGTAACATAAAAGTGAACCCATCCTCAGATTGACAAGTGTCCTCTTACTCCATTCATGGCTAAAGTCATTAAAAGTTGACATAAGTATTTTGAGAGGATCAGCGGCAATTTTTGGAGAAACTATTTACACAACTCAACTCCCTCCAAGCATGGGGCAATGTTGAAACCTTAAATTTCGAAAGAAATTTTGTAAAATAAATTGATAGGTCTTAAAAGATAATAACGTTTACCTTATCTCATCAATGAGTTGAATACAATGTCTATGCCATTTGTTCATCAAATGTTGGCTAAAGTCTAAAAGATGGACATGATTGTTATATGCAACATGTTTAACTTGTGAAATTTGCCACATTTTTACATTTTAGTCATTTAACAGACGCTCTTATCCAGAGCGACTTACAGTTAGTGAGTGCATACATTTTCATACTGGCCCCCCGTGGGGATCGAACCCACAAGCCTGGCGTTGCAAACACCATGCTCTACCAACTGAGCTGCATGGTGTGTAGCCTAGTTTAAAGTAATTCATTGGCATCTATTTCAATACTACAATTCATATGTCAACTCTTTTCTCTGGCTAACACTTGTATTGTATTGATAAAATATTGAATTATATCTACAGTATGTGCTTGTAGGCTATATCTAAGATACATGTATATCTCTATATCTTAGCACAAAATAAAAGCCAAATATTCCGACTATGCTTTATGCACGGATTGTTGAACAGTATTAAACCATGTCCAGTTGTACTCCTTGACATTTGCACAACTTGTGCATTACTGTATTAGGCTACTGGTGTATTAAGTTGCAATAGCCTAACTCAATAAATTAGAAACGTAACATGGACAGACGTCAACTGCATTGTAGGCCTATGTCACCCATATCAAGTGGACATTTTTCTAGCCTATTTATTTTGAAGAGGAAATATGTTATGGTGGTAGGCTTTATTAAATATGATTGTATGCAAATAAAAACATGCATATTGTAAACTAAATAAATAAATACAAATAATAGACACTGAATTTGAATCATTACTTTGTAGTGTTGTGGACATTGCGCAATTTCAAGCTTCCCCTATGGGCGTTAGTCTCGGGTACAACATAGTTTGTTTGAGACCATGGCTTTAAATGTATTTGATTGGCTAAATATCTCCATTGTTATTTATTTGTATGCATTTCATTTGACCTGAATACAATTCCATATACTTGAGTTATGGTGAAGAAAATGTGTTTTCTACATTGTGGTTACGCCAATCAGTGGAAAAGAAAAAGAAGAGATGGACGGCTGTATAGTCTACTGTAGACGTCCTACATTTCATCCACGTGCGCCAGCCCTCAGTAAACACCGAGGGTATAAACATATTTACTGGTAACTTCGTGAGTAGGCCTACAACATTTTGGAGTCAACAGCGATAAAGAGAGCGAGGGGGCGGAACCCCGCTGAGCCCCTGCGCTGAACGACAGCCAATCGCTTCGTTCTCTTAACTGCCAGTCACCTAAATCCGTCCAATACCCGCAGTGCCATTTCTAAACTGTATTCCCTACTGCGTCCCCCAACTGTTGTATGTTCTGCCAATCGCTTGAGGACAGAGTGGGAAAAGGAACAAGCAGAGTTAGAGGCAGGACAAAATAAGTTATATAGACCGCTTTTATATATATATATATTTTAATGTTTTAGAAAATCGTCGTGGTGGGGGAGAAACAATAGTGGTGAGAGCGGATGGACTTGACAGTGTAGTTAGTTATGGAGTCCCCTTTGAGCAAGAGGAATCCGGCGATAAGATTAGCGGATTTGGCAGCGACTCAACCTCTTCCTCATCAGAATATGACAGGCTTCCCGGGGCTAGGGGGGCATCACCCTCACTCCCACCATGCTCACCACCACCCTGGGGAGATGGGCAACGACCCCGGAGTGGCACTCACTCCATTTGGACCCGAGCACATGGCACAGACAAATGCTCTCAAACTTAGCCCCTCTCAGCACATTCAGAGCTATCCTGAAGCCCAGACCGTTGCAGCGGCAGCAGCATCCTTCACTTCTACTCAGACCACAGTTGGTTACCCCGTGGCTCCTCACCCTCACTCAGGCTACTCTAACAGCAGGGACTACATCCTCAGGAGAGAACTCTCAGCCTCGGCTATGCATGCACTTGGCGACCAGCATAGTTCAGCCTCCTCCCCTCATCACCATGGCATGTTCATCTCCCCAACAGGTGCTTATGGGCACGCCGAGACTTGTGCCCTTCCACTTTTCTCTGGACTCCACGACCAGGCGGCACCAGGTGCCCACCATCACCATCACCATGCCCTCAACGGGCAGATGCGTTTGGGTCTACCGGGGGATATCTACGGCAGGCCAGAGCACTTCGTCCACAGGCCCGAGCACTATGGACCTTCTTCCCTCCACAGCTACAACTCCATGAACCTCAATGTGAACATCGCTTCTGCTCCTCACGGAGCCGCGGGGGCGTTTTTGAGATACATGAGGCAGCCCATCAAGCAAGAGTTAATCTGCAAATGGATTGACCAAGAGCAAACTTCAAAGAAGCCCTGCTCCAAAACGTACAGCACCATGCATGAGCTGGTCAACCATGTCACGGTGGAGCACGTCGGGGGACCGGAGCAGAGCAGTCACGTCTGCTTCTGGGAAGAATGTCCGCGCGAGGGGAAAGCTTTTAAGGCGAAGTACAAACTAATAAACCACATCCGAGTTCACACGGGAGAGAAACCCTTCCCTTGCCCTTTCCCCGGCTGTGGAAAAGTGTTCGCTCGCTCGGAGAATCTAAAGATTCATAAAAGGACACACACAGGTCAGTGAAAGAACAAATATGTATTGTGAAAAGTTTTCATTTTAACTGCTGGCGGCATGGTGACCATGCGTAAAAGTAACGGGAACGAGATTTAATCAAATACAACTAACTATTCATACAGTCGAGCCAAGGCATCACCTGATTCGATGAAGAGTTTCTGAAACATAAGCTTTTTAGACATTGAAACTAGACGTGAAACTAGACGTGGGTGGTTATGCATTATGGTTTGTGAAACTTGCTTACGTATTTCCAAGTGAGTGAATACCACGCGTAATGTAGTTATCAGTCCGTAGAGGACGTTTACGCCTTTATGGCTCATGTTACTGCTATGTTGATATAGCGAATTGTCGCAGCAGAAGCAACCATCAGTTCAATCTCTATGTACTGATTTTATAAGTTACTAAATCGAGCTCCGGGTGAAAATTAAACAATTTTTTGGGGGGGGAAAGTTATAACAGTTTTAGACTATTGTGTTATAGGCTGCTGATAACCACATCGAAACTTGACTCACAATAATTTCAGACTAAAGAAAAACAACAAAGTGAAAACGGGCCACTGGGGCTTGTCCTTAAATGCCAACAACAGCAATGGCGTTAATGCAAGTCAGTCTAAACACTTGTAGTATGATGCAATACAGTATGCAGTGCCACGCGTGCTATGTTACCGAATAGCCTGCAAAGCAGACCAACTTTCCAACTTATAACTCACACGAGGGCTGGCCTATTTGGAAAGCAAGTTGCACCCAAGACTGGACTCACGCGAAAAACAGCATGTGGAAACCACGATGATTCAACCAGTGTGTGCCCAGTGGGAAGGGGCCGCTCCAACACCATGTCCATGCTTTGAAAGCATGAGATCTTGGTTGCCTAGATCTTGGTTGCCTGGTGTATGTTTTTTCTATTTTGAATTGTCCATTTTTACAATCATAAAATCATTTTTAAATACAATCATTGCAACATATAGGATTATCTTTATCAAAAAAGACATTCATTTAGGCCTACCAATGCACTTGTTTCCTCAGTACTGTATAGGCTACACATTTCCCCCACGCGTTCCCGCAGTATAGCCCACGGGCCACCCTATGTTCCATGTAAGTCAGTCAGTCAGGAACATGCCTAGTACATGTGGGAGAGGAGTGGCTGCGGGTGTAGATGTATAATAAATTAGGTATGTCGGACAGGAAGCCCTTGCGGCAGAATGGGCTGCCACCGACCATTTATGGAGTAATTACTGCGGGAAGTGGTATGTTACCAGGCAGTTAAGCGATGGATTCAATTATAGTCCTAGTTTGGGTAGAGCATGTGGACGTCCATGTTGAATAAGGTGAAAAATCAATAATAGTTTGTATAGGCCAAATTAAAAGGAATTGACATTTCTGTTTGCTGGGAATATATTGTAGGCTATAGATTTGATGTCATAAAAATGGTTAATGGTCCTATCCATTTGGTCACTTTATTATTCTCCTTGGACTTTGACGAAATGTTTTTATAAAGGCCATTATAAAATGTCTTCATTATGTTTTTGAAACACAAAGTGCACATTCTGTTATCGTACATGCACCCTTTCCGTAGAGTTATTGGATATGAGTAGCCTAATAATAAATGTTTCAATCTCTTCCAGGAGAGAAGCCTTTCAAGTGCGAGTTTGACGGCTGCGACAGGAAATTCGCCAACAGCAGTGACCGGAAGAAGCACTCCCACGTCCACACGAGTGACAAGCCTTACTACTGCAAAGTCCGAGGCTGTGACAAGTCCTACACGCACCCCAGCTCGCTGCGAAAGCACATGAAAGTCCATTGCAAGTCGCCCCCGCCCCCTTCCTCCAACGTTTCATACCATTCCTCTTCGAACCCTCTCAGCGCGCCCCTTTCGCCCGTCTCCGAACCGCACAGGAACCGGTCAGCGAATCTCTCGCCTCAGGTTACCAACCTTAATGAGTGGTACGTGTGCCAGGGGAGCGGGGGACCCAACCACCTCCACACCCCCTCCAGCAATGTGCCAACGACGGACTCGGAAGAGGAGGACTCTTTCAGAAATGCAGACCCAAGGACAATGCTGTAATGTTTACAAACAGAAAAGAAAAAGAAAATCCCCAAATTATCTCCCAACTGTGTATACGTGTAGTAGCCTAAGACCTAATAAGTGCATGAGGACTGTACTGACTGTACGCATATCAATTGGACTATGAAGCAAGAAATAGCGCTGCGGATGTCAGATGATGAAGAACAAACAACTGCCTTTAAAACGTGCCCTCTTTGTTTCCTTTCTAAAGAGCTGAATGTATCAACATATCAAGAAGTCTCAATATAGAAAAGCTACAATCACCAGTATTATTTGAGAAAATGAAATCATATAATAAGAGGGCCAAGGGAAGGCTAAATATAGGCTACTGGGAACATAAATACAATGTCATTCTTAAGGATAAGCCTTTGGAAAAAACCTGCATAGCCTACATATGCAGGCTACATTTACATGCATGCATCGTTTAACATGATTAAGTCATAACTGCTTAATTATGCTTACATTGACATTGTCCATATGATCGCAACCCCTAGAAATGTAACATGTCTTATTCATCAATGTCCAATCTCAGACAGAAGGGAGAAAACAGACGTTGTGGCTCATGCAAAGTACATGAGCCTTGAACACTAAACATCCCAAAATGGTGGAGTTCCATTCCATTTTTCTTCTGAAAACCTCATAGTAGATGCGAGAACTAATGTAAACATCCAATTGAATTTCGAACACCTGCAGAGAGCGAGAGACATGTCGCACACACATGACGCAATTAAGTCATAAATAGGAATCAAAATAATAATGGCTAACATGCAAGTGTCTTAAAGGGTTCATACGTCGTTTTAATATTAATACAATGACTATGTTAGGATATACATTTTTTTTTGTCCTAGGCTATTTAAGAACTATTTAAGACTATATTTGATGCAACAACAAAAAAATTACACCAGTGTTTTTCACTCGTTAAAGAGTAGACTACGAATAAGTCCTTCGAGACCCTAAATATGTACACTGACAGGTTTTGTCGCTAACGGTCGGAGTTGTATATAATTGTATTGATGCTCGTTATTGTTGTTCTTAGTCTTAATTACAAAGAATGTTGTTTTGTACATTGTAATTTATTTGCTGGTATTAATGTTGTACTGGATTTACAGAGACACCAAAGAATAATAATATTAATTTTGGTGAATACGTAGTAGCTTACTGATGCTTTTGATCTTGTTCTGTAAAAGAAAAATAATTATTATTTACTTGAATATAGGCAGTGTAATGTGAAACGTCATTCCTCTCGCATGCCCTTTGCAGTGACTGTGTTTTCTCTTTGAGGTGCGTGGTGCCGTTGGTTATGATGGATAAAACGTGTTGATGAAACAGCTATGATTGTGCAGACCCTTGATGTTCGTGATGCAATTGACAGTATAAATTCAAGCTAAAGCTGAATAAACACACAAGGCCGAGTTAATAGTTAATAGGTGTTTTTTGGTTTACATAACTTTATTGTTTCATGGGATTCAGGAGGCCTGCCAATGCCGGATGCCATTCCTTAAACAAGAAGATATAGAATGTACTTGTTTACATGCAGTATGTGCAACTATTTTGCTGGTAAAATCAGTTGTATAGCTGTTATCACATTATTACAGCCTACAGACGATCGAAGTAACTTGTAGGCTACAAACACATTGTCAAATCAAAATTCATAATTCTTGACAGTTCAATAAAGTTTTCACTGGTAAGTGGGGCGGCAGGTTGCTTAGTGGTTAAGAGCGTTGTGCCAGTAACCGAAAGGTCGCTGGTTCTAATCCCCGAGCCGACTAGGTGAAAAAACTGTCGATGTGCCCTTGAGCAAGGCACTTAACCCTAATTGCTCCTGTAAGTCGCTCTGGATACGAGCGTCTGCTAAATGACTAAAATGTAAAATATAAAAATGTAAGCGGTAACTCACATACAACAGGCCCAAGAAGGGGCTGGTATAAATAAACCAATCAGCAGGGCTAATGGGGAAACGTATAGCCCCTTAATGGCGTTGTCTCTAAAAGGTGGGACAGCGCAAGCAACCGAGGCATGAATCATCCATGGTAAAAAATAAAATATAAAAGATCTGACAATACGCAGGACCTTGTACAGAGTATATAAAACAAGTCCCCGTGTTATTTCCTCCATTAAAAGGCACAATCTCACTTTAAAAGTCGGCCCTGTCCAATCTATAGAATTAAAATTGACCAAGGCGAGTCCTGCACCACTTCAAAGACCTGATATACTTCTGAGCGGAAGGCCCGCCGCTTTGACACTCTTCATGGTGCGTTAGGATTTCTATGGCAATTGGGGAGCGAGCCGCTCACATTTGAATGTCTGGTAAAAAAACACTAACTGCCACTAAATCGACGATAATCAAAGCGCACAGTGCACCTACTCCCCAAAAAGCCTCATGTGTCGACACAGACAGCCCTACATTTTCACATAAAAAGGGCAAAACAAGAACAGCCTGTGCGTCCCCCATATATTGTTGACAGAAAATGGAATGCAGGGACACACTCTATTGTTGTTTGCCCTTTTTTATGTGAAAATGTATGGTGCTATAGGATGGGCAAAGAATAGGTCAAAAAAAGTGCATCTATACATTCAGGCCTACAACAGGCACAGGTGAACTTGAATTGTCTTAAACAGTGTGCCAATTACGCACGAAATAAATGGGTGAAATAATAGAATACATGATCCATTGCTGCCTTTGCACTCCATAAGTAACATTTGTGAGAGAGTGTTGTCTTTATCCCATAGCATGAGATGGCCTCTTGAGTCTGGTTTCTGTGTCATGGAGAACAAGCTGCAAAAAGAGGATGCAAGGGTTGCGCATCCATCCCTGAACAGAAAAAAACTACAAACAAGCATATAATCAACCCGTACAAAGTCTAATGCCAGACTGAGTGAAAAGCAGACTTCTTCATTGAGATGTAGGCCTACCAATATGAAGCACTGATTTCTATGACAATAGATCAACGCAACAACAACAAAAAGACAGGATCTCAAATGTTCATCTCCATCACAAGGAACTCTGTTGAGATGTAGTTACATTGACCTCGATTGAAACGTTTGTTAAGTCAATTTTCACTTTTTCTCCGACTTTGTCAGCAAATATGTTTTATACACTCTTTATGTAAGATAATCAAGTTTTATTGAAAACAAGCAGTCTTGTGTCGCTTTTTTTTTGTCCCCCCTCCTTTTGTCCATAAACCCTTATTTGGACAAAGGCGAAATCCTCTTCTATTTATTTAAAACAAGTGCTCCGTGAATGTTGCAAAATAAACACGATGAAAAATAACCAAAGAGATAGTTCCCTCGGCGTGAAAAGGGGGTACTTAATAAAAAGGAGTGAAGCAGTCACCGTTCAATGAGAAACGCTTTGAAGTAGAACTTATTATCTGAGGAATAGTTCTGGGTTGTCCTAACGACGGCACTGAATGGGAAAGGCTCTCCTTTGTCAGCGATTTGTTCTCCTTTAGTGGGATGCCCGTGGAAATCACTTACATGGCCCACCTTACCACGCTGCCTGCAAATCAGTAACCGGCGGAGTCAGACATGCAGACGCCACTTTGGCAAGGACAAAGCAGAAGTCGCGGGGAAAACAGCACTTGTTCTCGCCCTCTCTCTCATTTCGCCCTTTAGAAGGGCTGAATGATAATTTCGGAGACGACCGTAGGACCAAAACAAATGTTGTCTTGTCAGATTTTACAAGAATTACTAATCTCTCTGAAGTTCAGCACACAGAGCATAAATACAATGGTTTGTGGTCTAGGCCTAGTCTTTAAGGCCTAGTGATAGTTTCTGTTCCCTTATAATATAACCAACTAAGATGTAGCCTATGTGGTCCATTGCACCTGTGCCTCAGATTAAACAGTAACATCTTTGCTCCACATAAAGTTATGGCTCATACTTGATTCTTTACAAAAGCGTCTCATGGGATCCCAACTTTATATATATGATAATTCAGGACAAATAATAAGAATATTGGGACTAAGAAAACAAGGTTGCCTACACAAATTGTACACTTCCCAAGTCAGTCGAAAAGCAGCACCTTGCTACGGCTTTGCCCAGCTGGCTGACAAAAACGTTTCCCTCTCAAAATATCAAACATCCCCTTCTTCATGTGTCTGACAACATAATTGTGGCCAAACTATTACCTTGGGTGGTGAGACAGGTTTAGAACGTTTTAGCCTAAAAGCACTAGGTTAAATAGTGAGGTTTACCACCTGAAAAACCCCGTCAAGTGGACTGAATTTGGAGGGCTCTCATCTTTTTCCTTTTCTTTTCTCCCTCTTCAACTTTTGAAGCTGATGTTAATTAAAGTGCTTGTAAGCGAGCAATGCCTCCCCTTTGTCCCGGCACCTCTGCCAATGAAAGGCGAAGCTCGCAAGGGTAGCCTAGTTTTGTCTCCATGTCGATTGAATCTACTTTACAACTCCCGATGTGTCTGAGATACACTTGTGTAATGATGCAATTTTAAAAAAAGTTAATGCAAATATATCATGGGATAAAATATGTAATGGGATTAATTAATAACCAATTATGACAATATAACAGACATGCCATTAATATATTTTCATTATTCATAATTAAATACATTGCAATATATTCAGGTAATTGGTGATGCCTATTTTAATAATTCGTTTTCAATAATATCAACAAAGATGTGAGCATTACAAAACACTTGTTGAAGACAATAGCGTCGAGGGATTCGATTATTCTTCCATTGTCGTCATTGTAGACTTCAATAGGCCAATTCATGCCATCAACATTTAAATTCATGCAGATTAATAAATAAAATATGATCTTGTTATTAATGTATGCGTTTCTATCTTATCATTTATTGCATTACAGATGATTCTCATTTTCCCCCTGCAAAATGATTTGTCTGGACCAGGCTGCCATTTGTCACTCTTGCTCAAACACCCTGCACTGTGAGGGTCAAGCTACTCTATCCCAACACGTCCCATGATGGAAACATAAGTGTACATTTTAAACCCTCATTTTGTCTATTTGGTGTCAGACAG